ATAGAGAGGAGGAAAAAAGTGTTTTCTATTTAGAAGTCTACAAGAAATTGCTATGTTGTGTTCATCTCATACCAGGTAGGGGTGGCCATGTTTTAGTGGTTACTGTCTTTCATGGCAAGTTATAATTTTACATTTAAAGGGTTAAGCCCTTTAAATACATCTAGGGACTAGAATGTACTACTGTAAAGTTACTTCCTAGTTATAAATTATTGACTATATCATTAACTGTATGGCACAAATGCAGTTACATTTTCAGCTTTACCTTCTACTTGACTGATGTCTACCTCTTTTTCTTTTTTAAATAGAAACAGAATCTCACTATGTTGCCCAGGCTGGTCTTGAATTCCTGGACCCTGGACTCAAGACTGGAGGTCCACCTCTTTTTTCTTTTTTTTTTTGGAGACAGAGTCTCGCTCTGTCACCCAGGCTGGAGTGCAGTGATGCAATCTTGGCTTACTGCAACCTCCACCTCCCGGGTTCAAGCAATTCTCCTGCCTCAGCCTCCCAAGTAGCTGGGACTACAGGCGCATGCCACCACGCCTGGTTAATTTTTTGTATTTTAGTAGAGATGGTGTTTCACCATGTTGCCCAGGCTGGTCTCAAACTACTGAGCTCAGACAATCCACCCGCCTAAGCCTCCCAAAGTGCTAGGATTACAGGCGTAAGCCACTGCGCCCGGCGATGTCCACCTCTTACACAAGGTATACAAGTTACCACAACTATGCAGCAAATCATCCCAAAATGTAGTGACTTCAAACAACATTTATTATCTTAGAGTTATTTCTGGGTCAGGAATCCATGTGCAGTGTAGTCTTCTTGCTCAGGGCCTTTCACAAAGCTGCAATCAAGGAGTTAGCATGGGCTACAAGCCAACTTAGTCACTTCAAACCTCAACTGAAGAAGGATCAGCTTCTAAGCCCACTCAAGTGGCTGCTGGCAAGCCTCAGCTTCTCTCTCACTGGATATTGGCCTTGCCACATGAGCCTCTACGTAGGACTCCTTAAAACATGGTAGCTTCCCTGCTGGGCATGGTGGCTCATGCCTGTAATCCCAGGACTTTGGGAAGCCAAGGTGGGTGGGTCAGGAGTTCGAGACCAGCTTGGCCAACATGGTAAAACCCCATCTCACCTAAAAATACAAAAAATTAGCTGGGCGTGTTAGTGGGCACCTGTAATCCCATCTACTCAGGAGGCTGAGGCAGGAGAATTGCTTGAACCTGGGAGGTGGAGGCTGCAGTGAGCCGAGATCGCACCATTGCACTCCAGCCTGGGCAACAAGAGCCTCGTCTAAAAAAAAAAAAAAAACAAAACATGGTCATTTCCTTCCCCCAGAGTGAGGGCTCCAAGAGGGAGAAAGTGGGAGAGAGGGTAAGCAAGATAAAAGCCACTCCATCTTTTTGTAATCTAAACTCAGAAATGAAAGCCCTCCATTTTTGCCACATTTTGTTTATTAGAAGCACATCACCAGGTCTAGCCCACGCTCAAGGGAAGGGAATAATCACTGAACATTATCTTAGGCATTGCCTACCCTACCAGGATGCCATTTAAGGCAGTGCTTCTCAAACTAACCCTGGTTAAGAATCAACTTAAAAAAAAAATTCAATTTGTTGCAAGTCAGTACTTTTGTCAAATAAAATAGAAATTCATTTCTAGAAACCTAAAATTACAAAGGCATTAAAAACCCGCAAAATATCGGCTCATCTGTTGATGTTGTAATGATGTCAAATTGCTATATAAATTTCTTTAGGCCAAGCATGGTGGCTCACACCTGTAATCGCAGCACTTACGGAGGCTGAGGCAGGAGGATCGCTTGAGCCCAGGAGTTGAAGACAGGCCTGGGCAACACAGCAAGACTTCATCTCTACAAAAAGAAAAAAAAAATTATTTCAATTCTCAATTCTATTACTTATCTCATTTGGATCAGAAGCAAATAGTTTACATATGGGCATCAGTTTCAGGTCAACCTTTGAGTAGCACTGATTTCAGGATTTTATGAATGCAGGTGACTTTTCGAGGCTTTTACAAGACAATGGTTTGGACTTTTCACTTGGCTATTCCTAGATGGAGGATTCTAGAAATAAACCTTAGGAAGTTTTTCCTTCTAATTTCATTCCATTCTCTCCATGCTCCTAAAAATGGGACTTTTTATTGTGAGTAAAGTCAAGGGTATGTAGGATAGTCTCCTGGTTAACATTTTACTGCAAGATCTTTTAGGTACCATTGTTCCTGCCAGTCAGAAGCCACAGAGTTAAGCCACGCTTTTGAAGTGTGTAGTCTGAAAGATATTTAACACTGTGATTATCAATTCACATTGTAAAATGGTGAGGGGTCAGCCCACTTCCCAACAAATGTTAGAAGTTTGAATGCGCTTCCTGTTCCTAGTCTATTCAGATTTCTCAAAATACATCTCAAGTGTAACCTCCTCAATTCAACTAATAAATATTTTTTTGAGCATCAACTGTGTGTAAGATTCTTGAGGGCACCACTTTGAAGAAGGCACCGCCTCTACTCTCAATAGTTTATAGAACTCCCTACATAAACCCTGAAGTAATTTACATCTAAGTATTTTGGCAATCGAATACATTATTTCTCTTGTTTCTTGGTATCTCACAAATTTTTATCTCATCTCCCTAGTGAAACCATAAACTTACAGAACGAAAGTACTCCATTTCATATCCTTCATGCCTCCAGCACAGCCTCAGGCAATTAGTAGGTTCTCAGTAAAAAGCTGAAGGCAGCATTTACTAAGCTGAGACTCTGAATCCCCTGTTCAGAGACTAAATGCTGTGAACGGGGTCTTGGTAACCTGGCAATCACCTTTCTTCATCCTCTTTGCCACCCCAACCCATCCTCCAAGGCTTAGCACAGAGGAAGCGACTTTAAGAAGTCTGTTTCTGCTCCCCTGGTCCCCGTTCTTTTCTCTTCTTACTACACTAGCCCAGGAGAGAGATGAAAAACCCAGGTGGAGGGAGGGGCCTTTTAAAACAAGTCTTGCTCAACTTTTTACACAATTGGCCATTCTCAGTTGGACATCCCCTCCTGTCCCCTTTTCTTCCAAGGAAGAGAGCTAAGGTTAGTAAAATCTACCCTTGCAAGGCCCAGTGCTGGGTACTGTGCATGCACAAAGGTGAACCAAACAGGTTCCTTGTCCTCAAGAATTTACAATGGGCAAATCAGACCGATTCTCATCTACAACACAGAGTAGAATGAGCCAACTGTTATAATGTTGGCGAACGGAGAAAGCACTGTGGAACAGATGGGGGAGAGATTAATGCCAACTGGTGAAAATTCAGAGGATGTAGCTTTGGAGCTAAGCCTTGAGGGTGAGTAATACAAACAATGGGTAGCAGGGAGCACTTCCTACCTATGCAGTGCTGTGGTCAGTGGTTTACATGCATTATCTCATTTGGGGCTCACAAAAGGTCTGCTGGGGAGGTGCTATTATTAGTCTCATTTTACAGTGAGAAAACTGAGGCACAGAGAAAAGGAGAGATTTGTCCAAGGTCGCCCCTCAAGTGGAGGGGGGACTTGAACTCACTCAGGGTAACTGTAGAGCTGGTGCTCTCATCCCTCAAGGAAACAACGGATAAAGAGCAAAGGATACCAAGAGAGGAGGTCTAGCACTATGCAGAGCACGCCCAGAGAAGAGAGAGGGGTCTGTGAGGCGGGGACTGGGGTGTGCAGAGTGGTAGGATGACTGATCCCAATGGCACATATAAATTTCACGTGTAATTTATATGTGAAACTCCGAACTGTACACAAAATATTTCATCTGACCTCATCACATCTCTGTTTGACAGGCGCTATGATCCCCATTTTACAGATAGGGGAACTGAGAGAAGTTACTCTTGCCCACTGTGCCCGCCAAGTGTCCTCACGTGGAGGTGGAAGCCCTTTGCAAGCTGCCAGAGGCCTCGCAGTTGCCCAGTCACTCTCCGCCTAATCTACACGTCCTGTCCCTTCCCACTCAGCTACCCTCCACCTAGTCCTCCACCCCAACTCCCGCCCTTGGCTTTCAGCTAGGATGGTGCAGCTCACGGGTGGCAAGGGGCCACTTGGTGCCCAGAACAGCTTCTGCTCCCAGAAAGCCTTGCGTTCCCCGAACATAAAGAGGCTTTGAGCTCGGGGAGCCCCGCCCCGCACGGCCCCTCCCACGGGCGCGGGCC